CGCATCCTTGCGACACGGCTGTCCTGCCCGGCGGCCTGCTACGTCGTCGTTCCATCATCGTCTTTACGAAGATGTGATACTCCGGTCATCACTGCCGACCAAATGGTCCACCACAACCCGAAGAAAATCGAAAAAAAATTTGGCTAGAAGTTTGCCCATAGGGGGGGGTAATCGATAGTCCTGATTACGATTTTGACACTTATTTTCGGCGTCGACGCAATTTGGCGCCAGTATAGCGCTTCAACGTCTCTCATATGGGGTACATAGACGTACTTTTCGCTCCTTTTTGGCGTTCCTGGGGCCGCTCAGCGAAAATGAAGCCCACTTCTGTGGTCTGCGTTCAAGCCCCTAAAATGCAAAAAGCCATTTAGAAAAAGCGGGGCACGCCCTGAACGATCTTCCTCGTAAGTTGAGCTGAAGATCTACACGCTGTTTAGTGTGACTGGTGAAAAGCGTGGAAGCCTAGGGCCCAGTCAACGGCATTATTCAGCGTCAGGACAGAAGATAAGGACAGGACAATGATAAGAACGCAATACCTCACCCACGTCATTTTCAATCCCTTTTAGAAGATCACACGAAAAAATTCTTAACTTCACCTTCACTTCGATCTTCACTGAATGACTGGTCAGTTTCACGTCCACTCCGAGTTGAATTTAATTCAGGTCTTGTTGATCCGAACCCCTTCAATTCCCTCTTCGTTCAGGGAATTCCCGCTCTCTTCCTCTCCTAGAATTTTAACTATAAAAACTATAAAATAGTGAAAAACTATTTCGCAACATTTACCTTGAATCTCTATTGTCATGCCAATTTCTCCTGCCACGGCCATTTCCTCGTCCACCACCATTAAAATCATATCCTGGCCCTTGTGGTCTCCTATCATAGCCTGGCCCTTCTGGTCTCCTCCTTCCTCGATTCGGTCGTCGCTCATCATATTCAGGACGGAAATCTCTCTGAGGATGTCCATCCATCATCCTGCGTTCATCATTAGAATATTGCCCATTCCGTGGATAACGATTATGTTCACGATTTTCGCGGTTGTAATCATTGGGATTATAATCGTCGTAACCATCACGACGTTCGTAAGGACGACGATTGTCGTAACGAGGTGCTCGAGGTTGGTAGTCCTCCATGTGATATTGACGTTCACGTTCTCTGGAAAAACAATTCTATAAAAAAGGATGTACGGCACTACTGAAAGCAACGCTCTAGTGGGAAAATGTCAGGAAAGAAAGGAAATGTTCTTCTCTCCCTCAATTTTTTTTACACAATTAAGTTCGTCACAATAATCTCAAAATCTCTAAAAAAGGGTGTGGCCAAGAGTGGGGGATGCACAGTGTGGATACTATAAAAATTGCCTTTCATGTGTAGATTATATGTGTGAAAGGATCACTAAAATCGGATGTCAGGGGAATAAAGTTATATGGCGAAATTTTCAGTAAATTCATTATAAGTGGGCGGAGTCGTCGGGGCGGAGACAAGCGTACTACACACTAAAAGCGTATTCAAGGGTCCATGTGTGTAATATATGATAAATGTGAAAAACTAGTAAAGATACATTAAGTAGTGTAAAATCTGTTTAATGTGTGGTGTCCCAGCAAAAAGAGGCGGGGTTATCTGGGGCGGGGCATGTAATGGGGTCTATTGTGTGCAAAATATGTACGTTGAGCGCTTCGCGCAAGATTGGCAAGAAAGCCGCTTCGCGGAACAATCCTAAAAAAACGTTCTTAATCCATCGAGATGCTGATAATCGCTGGCGGAAGCTGCTGCGCGGGGGTGGGGGGGAAGGTAATGCTCGGCAGGATAGAATACCTGCTAGGGAACCGAACTTTCATCTCGCCTTCGTCAAATAATTGGCACAAAACTCGCCATGAATCACAAAACTGATAAGTTGAACTGAGATGACCACAACGTTTTGAAAAACTTTTGGAACCTCACATATTTCTTCAGGCTCTGAGGGTCTGACTGAGAATAATGTGCGCAGTTCAGGTAACGCTGGCACAACGAATAACACTCGCTCTTTTTCGTTTCCTACTTCAAGCCTACCTGCTTTGTAATCTCCTGCACCAACCCATCTCAAACTTTCACTTACTCCTAAGCTTGAACATGGAGACGGTCTGGGCGAAACCAGGCGGTAAACAAAATGCATGCGCTCATTCATCTGCTGCAACACCGACCCTCTAGATGGCGAGACAAAGCCGGAGTTATAGCAATGAGGACGTACAGGGTCTGGTCCATGGGAAAACAAGCGCATGAGGCACGATGATTTGTTACTTGTCTTAAGGTGGAGGGGTGCCACGAATTGGGGAAAATTACGAAAAAGCAAAGAAACGATCAAAACTTGCAAGAAAATCCTGTTCTACGCGACTTCAAAAAGCAATTCAGACGAGTTTTCCTCAGGCAGCGTGCCAATGATCACTACGGTAGATAAGGCTGCACGTACGCACTCATATATCAATGCAACCTGTAGTCGTTTCAAATCAGTCCCTACGCTTCATAGTGTATTTCGCAAATGAAGCAATACGAGCACCAGCATCGGTCGGACATTTGTGGGCGGGCGGGCGCGGTGGCGTTCAGGTCGGTATGTTGCAGCTTGATAGAGCGCTATAAAGACACCTTCCTGGGAAAGGCGCCATAACGCCTGCTTAGAAGCACTAAATTCTGTTCTGCTAGGCGTATCAATCCTACACGTCTTGGGGATCGATCGTGCCTTTTGAATTTGAAGGAGGTAAGGCTAGGTGAAATCAAAGCTTTTTTATAAGCTTATTTTTTTATGGGAATGCCAAGCGCTCTCACTGCTGCCTACACCATTGTAGGAACTAACGTGCTGGGGCTGCCAGTAAAGCTGGGACGATATGTTCCGCATGGCGTGAAGCCTTGCGAACTTGAACGCTGTATTGATAACCAGTCGGCTCGCCGGCTAACGCCGGCGCGCCTCCTTCTGATACGGCCCGGCTGCGCCGGGCGGGCGCGGCTTCGCCGCGCGTATTTTCTTTCACATATTTCTAGACTCAACTGATATCCGCCTTTTGTTCTGTACTCCACTTTTTTCCGGTGTCTGAAGTACTCTTGAGCTATTTTACAGATTCTTCGTCTGACTCCGCCCACAATGTTTTTGCCCCACAATCCTCACCGGCGACCCTCTGCTGACCTTAATCCACGTTTTTTTCCGGTCTTTGAAGTGCTCTGGGACAGTTTTAGAGAATTTTCGTCTGGCTCCGCCCACCTCGGGCTGGCCCCGCCCACAATATGTATACCCCACATTTCTCAATCGGCGACCCCTTGCTGACCTGAATTCACTTTATTCCGGTCTTCGGAGTGCTCTGGAACCGTTTTACAGACCTTTTTGTCTGGCTCCGCCCACAATTTTTTTGCCCCACAATCTTCACCGACGACCCTCTGCTGAACTTAATCCACTTTTTTCCGGTATCTGGAGTGTTCTGGAACCGAGCTACAAACTTTTAAAATGAATACCCTGCGATTTAGGGCAAGCTCCGCCCACTGTGGGCGGGTCTCAATATCTGGCGAAATCAATATCTGGCGAATATAGGGCACACTTTGAGCGTGCCCTATATTCGCCAGATATTTACATTCTACACTGAGTTTTTGCGACTTCCAAACACTCTCGCGAACCGGGTTACTGAATTTTGCGAGAAGCACCGCCCACCTTGAGTACGCCCCGCCCATTTTGGATGTGTCTGCCACAGTTAGTCTGGCGACTCCTTACTAACCTTATTCCCTTTTTCCCCATCTTTAAGCTGCTCCGGAAGCGAATTATGAACATTTTTCTGCGGAACCCCAAACTTTCGGCGAGTGCCCCGCCCACTGTGGGCAGGGCTTCCCATAGGCCAAGTGTAGAACCGAATTTCCGCACAGACAAACAAACTTAAAAACAAACAAACAAACAGACGAAGCGAATTATATACAGGGGGGCCAAAAAAGTCACTTTGCTTCATTGACTTTCGAGGCGCTATAAGTTACACTTTATAAATTCTGATCGGACATTTCTACCACCATATTAAAGAGCATATTAAATACTATTATGACACTCCGCCACAGCCTTCTGGAGGAGCGCCATCGAGAGATTCTGGCACGCAACCGCGATGTGGTCCCTGAGATCAGCGAGATAGTCGATTTCTCCGCCACCGTAGACCACCCTATTGAACTCCGCCCGAACCGGGTAATTGAGGGGATTCAGGTCAGGTGACCTACTTGGATATTCCATCTTCTTTAGGTACTCAGCCCCCTTCCATTCCAAGTAGGCGAGAGTTTCTCCAACGCCCTTCGATTCCACGTGGTGGCACCCAATGCTGTAGCAGTACAAAGTTTCCAAGAAGGTACGGGCGACGACATGTGGGGAAGATATTCTTCTTGAGTTGGTCGATGTAACCGCCAGCGCTCAGCTTCAGCCCGGGGTCCACGAAGAAAATATTGGTCTTTCCATTCCAGGTGCGTCCGGTCCATACCATCAACCCGCGCCTTGGCGACTGCCGTGAAGATGATGTCCTAGACCGTAGCGACGTTGTCGGAGCTGCTCGATGTTGGAGGTCTTCCAGATTGAGAGTACTGGTCTCCAGGTAGCTACCCATGGGTGACTCCACACTAGAAGTTTCGCAGCTGTTTGGAGGTGACATGAATTCCAAAGGTCTTCTCCAGTCAGGCTGCGACTGGAGATGACCTCATATTTTGGTGTACATGAAGGTGATGGGCGAGGGCCAGCTCCTGCTTATCGAGGAACATCTTGGGTATCTTCCGCCCTGGTACTCGTATCCACGTCTTCTCTCTGGGCTGCGAAAACTTTGCTGATATGTGACTCGGTCGAAGTGACTTTTTTTGGTCCCCCCTGTATATGGGGTGATGGGGTGATAGTTCGTCACAGCATACACTGGTAAAGAAAGACAGATAGCGGACCGCTAAACTCTCTCTTATCTCTATTCTAAGCAATGGCGATGAGTAACCGAAAACGATAAAAATAAACTATGCACACATATTTCACTAAACCAAACACACGTCATCCCTTTCTCCCTGATACGGCAGGGCTCACTTCCCGTTACGGAATCATCAGCTCGAGGCAAGCCCTGTCCTTACTACAGGCCAGACATTGCTTCCTCTCAATTGGGACTGCACCCTGACCCAAGCCTTAGGAAAAGGTTTGAGAAGCCTCAGACTCATTCTCAAGTAGGAGTCCAGCTGACATCCTATTTTGCCTCACGCAAACTCATGTTTCAGAGGAGTGCGCTCAGAGTACTGCACAACAGCTGACAAAGAGCCATCAGTAACTATTGGAAGGCGCATATTGCCATAAAAACTTGTAAGAAATGTCAAAGCCTCGGAAAAAGCGGTACTGTCCGGAACTCGTTGAAAAAGTTCTGCTGAAAATTTTGCCTATATGGGTTATTCAGTGCCCTTATCACGAACATTACAATCATTTTTAGCCCTGACGCTATGTGGCGCCATTGAGCGCCACACCTTAATTTCACCAAGATCCAACAAAACCTGCACAACAGGGTCGCTTCATGCCCTGATCATATGGCATTCATTTTTCAATTAAGCGTTCTGCTGAGGCTAAGCCTAGGAGGAGAGGTGATTCCCTTCACTCCTTCCTCAGCCTAAGCAGAGCGCAGATGATCGCAGTCTTCCCCATTAGCGCCGGCGCCATATTCGTAAGCAGAATGTCACATAACCCTCGTATGAAATTTTCCGTCGATTTTAATGATCGAGGTGGCGCCATCAGCTGCGACGGTTTCGAGCCAGTCGGATGGGATATTCATGCTCAGGAAGTCAAACTACCCCGCGGTGATAAGGCAGCGTTCACACTTGTAGCGCTACAGCGTCGCGCTACTGCGTCGCGCTACAGCGTCGCGCTACAGCGTCGCGCTACAGCGTCGCGCTACAGCGTCGCGCTACAGCGTCGCGCTACAGCGTCGCGCTACAGCGTCGCGCTACAGCGTCGCGCTACAGCGTCGCGCTACAGCGTCGCGCTACAGCGCCGCTTCGCAACGTACTGCTATTTCCAACGTTAGGATGATTAGAGTTGCTTACAGAGAAAAGTGGGAAGGTTGCTGGAGTTTTCTTGAGAAATTCACGGAAAGGTGAGACTGATACAGCTGTAACTATCTGACGCCATCCTTGACAGTTACTCCATTAGTCACTATTTTTCTGGTACTGCTTTTAGCGTAACAGTGTCCTTCTGTCCTATTAAGAGCATTTTCTGCAAAAAACACCCAAAGAGTACTCGCGCCACCTAAAAACACGCACGCATGTTTTTTTACCGGAGACACAAGAACCATAAAGGAACTTCTTGTTTGCCTTGTGTTAACGCATTGGTGACCAGACAGTCTTCGCGTGCCTGTTGTGGGAGATAAGGCCATTTTTTTCTGCTGACGACAAATGCGAAACTGAACGAAATGCAAATGATGTTGGTTTGCCATCTTGTCAATGGAGCCAAAGAACTATTTCGTCATCGGAGTCAACGTGAGCAACCACTGCACTGCCCCCCCAATGCACTGCAAGGCATCAAGCAAAGCCATCAAACACCAATAGCAACTCTGAAACCAAATAATTAAAGTCAAACACGGTAAATAAAACCAATTATAACGGTCTCATTTCTTTTCTTTCTTTCTTGGTTTCATTTCTCAAGAAAACTCCAGCAACCTTCCACCTTTTCTCTGTAAGCAACTCTAATCATCTTAACGTTGGAAACAGCAGTACGGTCCGAAGCGGCGCTGTAGCGCTACGTTGTAGCGCGACGCTGTAGCGCGACGGAGTAGCGCGACGCAGTAGCGCGACGCTGCTTTTTTTTTTTTCCATAGCGCGACGCAGTAGCGCGACGCTGTAGCGCTACAAGTGTGAACGCTGCCTAAAGGGTTTTTGGCGCGGCACCCGTGGCGGTGGCGCCGGACAGTTTCAGGCCCAAGCCGATGTGATGTTCTGTTTAGGAGGTCGAACTATCCTTGGAAACTAACTTCCGGCCATATTTGCAGAAAAAGTAAAACTCGCCTGATTTCGAAAGACTGGGATAATAATGGTGCAATAGTGCCGAAAACCCTTATTGGAAATTTCGGTCCTTATCTATATGCCCCGAGTATGGGATAAAGATGCGAAGAAAGGGTATTACGACACTTTAGAGTCGAATATGGCAAAGAAGTATGCGTGAAACACATGAAAGAGAGGAAATATGAGTCAACAATCAACACACGTATTTATTGCTCACGAATTAGGCACTCATCTGTATTTGC